GAGGGGGGGAGGGGAGCCGCCCTCCCCGCCCGCAGCCCATCGCCCTGGCCCACCGGCCGCACCTCAGGGCCTCCGCCGCCGCCTGACCGTCCCTCCTTGTCAAGCTGAAGGTCTCTCCTTCGTTTCCGCGCACCGCGCAGGCGTAACGCTCGCGGCCCGGCTTTGGCCACACCCCTCTCCGGAGACGGCCTCAGGGCGCAGGCGCGCCGTTCGCCCGAGCGCCGTCGGCCCGGCCCTCGTTCGGCCCAGCCTTTTACCGCGCACGCGCACTAGGCCTTCTACGGTTTCAACTCCGAATGGAACGTTTCCTCGCCTTCTTTTGATAGGCGCGGGGGGGGCCGGGGGCGCGGCCGCGGAATGGGAAAAAATGGCTATTCCACGGGCGCGCGTGGGATTATTTCACAATAATGGCGGGGAAGCTGCAGTTGAGAGTCTTGCAAACTTCCAATGGAGGAGGGCGTTAAGAGGAAGAAACACATTTCAAAGGGAGCGGGGATATTCCGAGCCATGGTACCCCTAATAAATAAATTAATTAAATCTCGTAATTATGACATCAGCAACTTAATGATAATATTTATTGGTACAGCATTTAATTTTGCATCCAGTTCTCCTAAATTTAGGACAATGCCCCAGGCAGGAGAAATCGATGTAAACCTCTCTCCCTGGCACCATCTCCCCCTTCCTGGGGCTTCAGCAGGTCGATGGGCTCTGTGGTCACCACGCCCGGCGTGGGGGGAACCAGGGGTCCCATCTTCAGCCTCGCTCGCGACCGGCTGCCCTAAATCGCCCGAGTCGAACTGGGAGAGAAGGCGACACGGCACGTCTTCTTTAAGGAGGGTGGCCGAAGCCCTAACTGGGGGGAGCCGCCCGGGCCCCCGCCTGCCCCCAAATCAAGGGGACAGCGCGGCTTCCAGACGTCCGCCCTGACGGGATCTCGCAAGTCACGGCGCGGGGATCGCCGGCCCCTCGGCCGCCTATTGCGCTAAAACGTCCCGATTAGGCTGCAGAATCGCGGAAGGGCGCTGGGCGGCAGTCACAGGCGGGCGAGCCCTGCCTCGGCGGCCGACTAGTGGCCACCTGAGGTATTGCAGCCCAGGTAGGATCGCCCTAACAGCGCCTGCGCAAGTGCTCGGGGTCCTCTTAGGGCTAGGGAGTGTGAAAACCTGGTCGCCCAATCCAACCTTTAACCTTGTTCCCTTCAGTTCACCGCTCTACGAAGTGAATTCTACAAGGTGAAATGAAAGGAACAAGGTGCCGCGGGTGGTTCTTTTTTTTAAGCAGGCGCTCAAGGCCATTTTTGAATTTTGGAGCTGCTCTTAATTCGACGAGCTAAGCCTTTCCCTCTGCAGAGAACATAGGAGTGCACGTGTCAAGATAGCATGTTATTGAAAAACTCTTCTTTAGCGGGTGTTTTCATGTTTGCAAAGATACACATACCATAAACCCTTGAAGATGTACGACAGTCTACAATAGCAAAAATACAAGAGTTAAAGGCTTATGCCTTTCAATAAAATGTTAGTTGGAAAAGGCGCTACCAAACTCCTGATTAAAGCCTCTAAGAATATTTATTCCTTGACAATTATAGGAGCCTGAAGCAGTCCTGTGCTTGCAAAAAAAATGTTCCCAACTCAAGAATTGTTAGAAATGTGGGTTATGGATATTTTGTATGGGTTGTTTTCATTTTGTTTAAAAGGTAAAGATGTCCTTGAGATCAGCTCATCTCCTTTAACACAAAGAAGTCATGTGTTTTTTGGCAGGGGGGACAATATAAAGAATGCCCAATTTCTATCTTCCAGGGTGGTCTCCCATCCACGTATTAACTAGGCATAACCCTGCTTGAGCCCAGACAAGGTTGGCTACTTCAGAGCACAAGTGTATTAAAAATACAAAACATTAGCTTTTAATATGGAAGTCTGCTTTTTTCCCCATTTCTCCATGTGACAAAAGCTGAGAGATTACACTGGCTGGGCCTACACTCATAAGCTGCGTTTAGCCAGTTAGTGGCCCAGCAGGGTGTGCAAACACTGCAAGACAGTAGTAGCGCAGTCTTCTTTGGTTTGGGAGCATCAGTGCAGGGCAGGCATTGGGGGGCTTTTGGCCCTGTTTTATGAGTTTGTTAATCCACTCTTCTGTTACTTATTCTTCTCTGTTCAGCCCCACGTAACATTCACCATGCGTTCCTTGAGATCAGTGGATGCATCTCGGTCCCACGCTCCCATTTAAAGAACAGCAAAACCAGCTTTGAACTCTTTAGGGAAAGGCAAAGCCGTTTTAATGGCTTAAGGTGGGGAAAAGGTCATCCGTTGGGGAAGAAGCAGAAGACCCATGTTAGAGCCACACGGCTACGCTTCCCAGGTCAGGTGGCTCACGCAAAACAAGCCATAAAACCCATCCTTTAACCTCGTGATGCTAGAGTCAACATTAGAGAAAAGGGCAGCGTGCAGCCACGCATCATGATGAGGAGTGACCCAGGTCTCTATGCAGTCAACCAGAAAGGAGGGGCTTGGCCTTTTGAAAATGGCCTGGAATCGCTTCCAGGAACAGGCAGAACCTTCGAGCCATTATCCCCTGGCCTGCTAGGTAGGACAGAGGGGACATTTGTGCCCAGTGTTATCAACCAGGAGAGGCAACCTCCTACACACACGTATGTTTGAGGCAGATTCTTACTTTGGGAATGTGTCACAGCCACATTTAAATGTATTATTCAATGTATTATGCCCACCGCCTTGAGTTGCTTATAAAAAATAATAAAAGTGGGGTAAAAACTTAATAAATATTCTCCGTGTCTTTATCGGCCCGTGAAAATCAGTAGAGCAGCAGGAAATGACCACCTGTTGAGGAAGGCCATTCTTTTACCCTTGCTATTCAAACCAGACACATACCATAAATTGTTTAAGATAGAACCTAGCACTTTATTAAGATTTTAATGTGGAATTTCAAGAACCAGACATATGTAATAAACGCCCAGGAAAAAAAAAAAAAAAAAAGTGGAACGCAAAAGGCACTTCCTGTTTAGGATCCTGGCCATCGGATGGGCAAGTAAACAAGCTGGCTTCTCTGTACAACACCAGCCAAGTTAGCCTCTCCCAAGGTCAGTCCCCCCCAGCACTGCCCTCCCCTGTTTTACACAAGCCAGACCCCCTGTAGGTTATACCCAAGGCTTTTCTGTAGGACACCTTGGCCTATCAGGGAATGCTGGGAACTGTCAAGGAATTCATGGTGTCAAAATAAAGTTTAAAAGCTGCCATTTGAGACAAGGGCTTCTCTGTACTCACACCCCATCCCAAACACAATAAATAAGCAATTATTAAAAAGTTTCAAGTATGTAGGTGTCTTCCCACGACCTTCCCAATTGCACGTGTGCTCTGAAGGGGACTGGCTTCTCTGTAGCTACACCAGTACTTCAGAATGCAGTTTGGACTTGACTTTGAAAGTAAACTGGGAATTTTGTGCAACATGAAGTTCTTGGCTCTAACCAAAAAAAAATAATAATAAAAATCCAGGTGCCAAAAGTGAAAAGTGTGCAGCCTACAGATTCTGGGGTACAATCCTGTGACTTCTCTATGTTATACCAAGATTGGTCAGTGCTCATTTGATAAAGTTGGTGAGGTCTGGCTAGTGCTAAAACTGCATAGGATTAAAAAAAAATTATGTTGAACCTCAAAGAAAACAGAGCAGAAAAGAATGACACGATGGTGCTGACTGAATTTAAGAGCACAGAACCAGGACTGCCTCCATTAAGAAACTTCAACAGAACTGCACTGGAGTTCCAAACAGGAGTTGTGTCACATGCAAGCTCTCTGCTTAGGCAACCGCTGCTCCTAAGGAATCAATGGAGGGGCAGCCTTGACATTCTCCAAAAACAGTTGCCGCACCGCCCTGCTCTAAGCGTCTGGGCAGAGGAGATGAAACCACGGACTGTGTGCACATCACAAGGGAAGTTTCTTGGGGCTTTTTTTTTTTTTTTTGAAGGTAAGGTTAGCCTTTGGGCAAAGCAAAAGATTAGGCTGAAGCACTGTTTTGCTTACAGCCTTTCTTCTCTATGGATCTTGTATTGTGCCTATGCTCAACTGGCTCTACTTGTACGTCAAGCGCATTGGGCAGAGGAGAAAGCACAGTGCAATTTGCGGTCCCCAGAGGACTGATATTCATGGTAATGAACAGTGTGCCAAGTTAAGAGCAGAGAAGGATAGGACCAATTGAGGGATTGGGGCTCTTTCCCACAAAGGAGCCTGAAGGTTTCTCTGTAATGTACACCAACAGGTCTGGGGAAAGAAGCCCAACATATTCAGTATTTAAGCTTTTTGGGGACTTCCCAGGGGAAGTTGTTCCTACCAAAGTGACCATAGGCCGCAGTCTTCTGATAAATAGGCTTCTTCAGATCCAGATCCCTGGAATATACAAGTCCGTAACTCAATACACAGCATTCACCCAAGCAAAGCAAAAAGCACCAACATCTCAAGGGGCCATTATTAGCAGGGATGGTCAACACTCTTGGCCCCAGAGATCATCAGCCTTCTACGAAAGGTAAGAGTCACCCTTTAAGGGGTCGCAAACAGCAATGCCAATGTGCTTCTTGGAAATCTAAGCCCCCGGGCTCAAGCTGAGAGCATGAAATACTTACCTTCTACTTATGAATGACTACTTCCGTGGCAGACCACATAGCTCTCCAGAAGGCATGATACTTCCTATCTCAACATCAGCCCACCTCAATCCAGAGACTTCTAGTAGCACTTCCTAACAGGTGTAGGCACAGACCTGCACTACCTGTCTGCAGAGCTAAGGCTGACTTTCCCCAAAGTCAAAACGAAGTCCTATACAGGATATTTAGCCTCCTGAACAAAAAAGGTAACTAAGGTTCAGCTATCGGCAACTTTCTTCTATGTTTCTAAAAGAGAGGCCAACCAATGACTCCTTTGCCTCAGCTCAATCAGGATAATACGAAACCCATAGAAGTTTCTATTACCATATTGGGCATGGAGTTACTCCCAAGTGACATCATATAATGTTTGCCGTATAGCTATTTAAAATCTCTACAAATTACTCATACATTTCTAGCATTGTTCAAAAGAAAGACTTCAATTGTAAGCCTAGCTGGTACTACGTAGTAAGCTCAACTCATTAGATTTTCTGGAGATCAAACAACCTGGAAGTATCTACAGATACGTCCGTAAGGTCAGCCTCTCAAAAGACATTTTGCTTTCTAGGGATCCCCCAGGCATGTTACTCCATGAACTAGCATACAGCGTCTGAGGGAACCACCCCACCAAGACTGTCGCTGTAGAGGGAAGAGGGAATGCCCTTGAGGGACAGGAGGAAGAGCTGCTACCAAGACAACGGTCAGACAAAAGAAGTCAAGAGTCTGGAGCAAGAATGTAGTGTGAGTAAACATCTCAGACAGGACCCCCCCCTTAGTTCTCAAAAAGATAAAGGGAAGGAGGGGGGAAGCACATTCAGACTTGCAAGGTTCTGTTACTAGAGCTTTTCAATAAAGTAGTATTGACCTACATGACACTAGCTTCCTAGCCTAATCCACCTTGAAGGGCTGACGGTCACATATCAAAGAGCAAGCGCTGCTAGCTAGAGGTATCCAAGCGCACACTCCCCCCCATAATGCAGGGACGTCACCTCTGATTTGATACTGTAGCCATCTCCTGTGACCACACACCAAGACACGCCGTGCTCGGCAGGCCGCTTTCCTCTGTCTCTTCGTAGTGGGTATGGTGCATACAGCAGAAGGAAGGACAAAACGTTGGCACATTAAGGGCAGTTTTGCCCAACGGCCGTGGCTTGTTTATGCCTAACCCCATCCTTCCTATCCCCCATTTATTTTCCATTTTTAGACACAGACACGTGCTACCATGTTTTACCTGACAATGACCCCCGGGCGAAGATCAAAGTTCTTCTTCACAATGTCCAGCAGTTCGTGCTCGGTTTTTTGAGAGGTGCCATAGTGGAAAATAGAGACTGATATGGGATGGGCCACTCCAATAGCATAAGATACCTGCAAGCAAAGAGGAAGCACAAATAGAAAAGTATACAGTGGGTTGGCCACCAACTAAGATATCCCTTACCTCTTCATGCTACTACTCCAAAATTATACAAGATATTTTATGTCCAATGTTTTCCACATAATCCTCTCTAATGCTTTTATTTATAATGCTGACAGTGATGTTATTTCAACACTAAGTCATGTACTTTTGGGATACAGGCAATACCACATTGTTGATCGAAGACCCAAACCATCTGTAGCCAATACTGGATGGGGCACAGAATATGGATCTCAAAATTACCTGAAAGACTAGAGTAGTTGCGCTTCAAAGGGAAAAGGGAGGGAACAAATGTGTCTGGGTATGACTGCTTTTGCTCACTTATAATGGATATAAGGGTTGGATATGGCAGGAGAAAAACAGAAGTTGAATGCAAGAGGACTGGGTAGTTAAGAAGCAGGTAGCAAAACAAGGTAACAGTCAAGAATGAATGGATGGATGCCAAATGAATACAAGAGGCACCAGTATGAAAGAAGTACTTTAAAGTGGCCCAGCCAGAAAGAAGACACAGAAGACTGAATCACAGTACACATATATGAAGGAAGAATGAATGGGATGAGAGGAAGGGGAAGGGCAAGAAAATAATTACTGGATGGAATTGATGAACTTCAGCTCGGTTAGAAATACCAAATTCAATAGGCCAGATTTAGCACTTAGACAGGATGGAAACAAGCATTGTTTACAAAACCAGAAAAGCATGGACTAATATAATAGAGTTGTGCATGCTACATTTAGCTATATTCCCTTTTCCCATCTTATGCCATTAATCCCTCTGGCTTATTTTATTCTTCTTCCGCACCTTGCACAACATTGCTTACCCCCAATAGGGGACATCAAGATGAGTATATCTGTATGAAATTGGGCCAAGCACCTTTTAGCCCCCAAGAAACAAGCTGAACATACCTGAACGAGCACTCGCCGACACAGGCCAGACTTTACAAGGGATTTGGCAACCCAGCGAGCAGCATAAGAAGCCGAACGGTCAACTTTTGTGTAGTCTTTACCAGAGAAAGCGCCTCCTCCATGAGCTCCCCAACCACCGTAAGTGTCAACAATGATCTTCCGGCCAGTCAAGCCAGCATCTCCCTATAACAATAATTGTGTTTGTTACATCTCTGCTAACTGAAAGCTATCTTGCAAAGTCCTGGTTTTGTTACAAAGTACTGCCAAGTGCGTCTGAGCTTTCCTGCTGAGGTCACCTTTCAGCAAGCTGCCAATAATAACGCCCAGATCAGACAATAAGCAAAAAACCAACTGTTGACGTACCTGGGGGCCACCAATCACAAATCGGCCACTAGGCTGCAGATGATAAATAGTATCATCATCCAAGTATTTTGCAGGCACAACAGCTCGGACCACTTTCTCCTTCAGGGCATCTCTCATCTCATCCAGTCCAATTCTGTCATCGTGCTGAACGGAAATGACAATGGTGTGGACTCTAATGGGAATGACGGCACCACGATCCTGCTTGTACTGAACGGTCACCTGGAAGGGAGCCAAAAGGAACACCCACATTTTGTATGAGGATCGAAAAGGAATCTAGCATGCTTAAAGTGGGGTTTCCAGCTTTGCCATTCAAGCAGAAGAGCCAACTGCTTTTACCTGAGTCTTAGAATCTGGTCGCAGCCAAGTCAAAATATGATTTCGACGGAGTTCTGCCAGTTTTGCATTCAGCTGGTGTGCTAGGAGGAGAGTCAGGGGCATGCACTCATCGGTCTCATCAGTAGCATAACCAAACATCAAACCCTAAAGTGAGGATGATATGCAGAACAAGCCTTAGACTCAAACAGGCATATTCTAGGAATCCACACTCTGTACCCATTAATCAATGACCCCTTAATACCAACCTGATCCCCAGCACCAATGTCTTCTTCCTTCCTGTCAAGATGCACGCCCTGAGCTATGTCAGGAGACTGCTGCTCTAGAGCAACCAAGACATTGCAAGTTTTGTAGTCAAAACCTAAAACACAGAAGCCTTAGGATGAGTATGTGAAATTGTTCAAAATCAAAAGCTTCCTGATCAAAACCAGAATGCAAAAAGGTAGCCAGCCTAGCAGGCATCCAATGTACTCACCTTTTGAAGAATCATCATAGCCAATATGCTTGATGGTTTCACGAACAATTTTTTGATAGTCAACCGCAGCAGTGGATGTGATCTCCCCAGCCAGGAGAATCATTCCTGTCTTTGCAGCAGTTTCTACATTAGAACACAGATCAAATGCTATCAGTTCCAAGGGCAACAGAATTCTTTCACTGGTAAAGTACTTAATATAGATTGCTCAGCCCTTCTATAAAGGGCCAAGAGTACTCACCACACGCTACTTTTGCATTTGGATCTTGCTTCAGGTGCGCGTCAAGGACAGCATCACTAATTTGATCACAGATCTTATCTGAAAACAAAAGGTTTCCATTACTCTCTAGGCTTCAAGGAGCTATTAGTTCACATTTCAAGAAACTTGTTACTTCACTGACCAGTTAAAATAACCCCTCCTTCTCAAAGTCTGTTCTGGTCATCCCTGCTCTTTCAGGAAATTTAAAATGGGGCCGTTACATGAATGCAAACACACGCCCGCCCCTGTCCTGCACAACCATCCAGGCAGGGTCTCATGCTAACCCAACTCTTAGTATATGAACTGGGAGCAGCCATCATTTCCTGTAAACAAGCTATTCTTAGGAAAGCCTAGATTAAAGGGTCACATGGGCTAGATTTAAGTTGGTGGTGCACAAGCCCAATAAACCATGAAAGATGGCTTAGCAAATTTTTGCAAACACTCTTTATCAAGAGTTATTTATATATAGGTTCTTGGCTTGGTTTTGAGATGTTAAAACTAGGTTTCTGCTAATTCACTGCTCAAATGTTCTTCATAGGAGTTACCCAAGGAACAACAAAGCTGCAGTCATCTAGATGCTACTATGTGAACTTCTGAGTCAAGCTTGACCCTGGTGACTGCTTGGAGAAGTCCATGCTATGTTCTTAGCGACATTCTTGGAAGTGGTTTGCCATAGCCTTCTTCCTAGGGCTGAGAAAATGTGCCTGGCCCAAGTCACCCAGCTGGCTTTTGTGCCTAAGGCAGGACTAGAACTCAGTCTCCTGGTTTTTGGCCTGGCACCTTTAACCATTACACCAAAGTGGCTCTTCCTGATACTAGGGACTTTTAACTTACTCAACCCACTCTGTTCACTAGGTAGGCATTCTTCCCCCCCCCCAATTATTAAGACCTGCATATAGACACTTTTCATATAATGGGATAGGAAAACTTAACCTTACAGTAAATAATGGTGACTTCGGTATTAAGTCTTTCACATTCCCTTGAAAATGCCTGAATGTGAACCAAATATCCTACAGTCAACTAGAGCTTTAACAGAGCCACCTACCAATTTACACTTGCAGCCTTATTTTTCTATCTAAAAAATAACTACCCTAGAAGTGATCTTTCAATGCAAAAATACTTGGTTCAATTAGCACTTATGAATCCCAACTCTTCTACAAGGAAATGGTAACCTTAGAAAACATGATAGGAATGTATAAATTATGCCAAAGGACGCCTTAACACAGAACATATCTGGAATTCTATTTCTCATAATACTAAAACTATTGATCACCCAATAAAGCAGAAACATGGAAGATTTGGCTCATACTGTGCAACATATTGAGATGACGACTACAAATCTTGGAGGTGAAGTAAGTGGAAAAGCATTACTGCATTCCTGTTTGTGGGTTTCTTGTCGGCATGATCGATTACTGTGGAATAGAATGCTGGATTGCTTTGATAATAGTTTGGCTTTGGAGCACCTAAGACTATAAATGTTACAGCTTAGCCTTAGACAATGCAGCAACCTCGAGCACTACTATGAAAAGTTAGATAATTATGCTTGCTCCTACAGCTTTCAGAAATGTGCTATTTTAGAATTAACTTCCCCCTCAGAGTGAAGAATAGAGATCTTCCCAACTCACTGTCTTTTACATGTCTTGGAATGTCATTCAATAATCTGGTGGGCACCATCTCAGAGAAAGATAATATACATACTGATGTAGTTCTATACTAAAATGTAATTTTATAAGTTTCACAAAATAAACTAGAGCTAGGGATTCAGAACAAATTTCAGGAAATCAACTAGTGGTCTCTCCTTCCAGAGAAATTTAGAAGATCATCTAGCCTGTTATTGTATATCTTTTAGCAACTGAGATTCTGCATTAGCAGGTAGTTAGGCTAGATGACCTTTGAGATGTTGTTCAACAGCATGGCTCCCTGAACAAGTCTAAGATGCCTAACTATGGTATGAAAGGAACTAATGAGCAATAAGTAGAAGAGACATGGCCTCAGTTCATTTTACAAAGTACGTGTTAAATTTATGTCTACTACTATCAAATCTTTGACATTTACTCCACAAAGAGGATGAGACCATAAAGAGTCTGATCCACTCTGCTGGGAACATTACACAGTGCTACTCTTTAATATGAACCACATGGCATGTCAATGGCTACATGTCAATGGCGGAAAAGACGACATACCGGTTCTTCCTGCTCTTTTGTAGGAGAGACTCGCTGATGCACTGACTTCCCACCCACCCCAGTTTTGCATCAAAAGCATCTTATTCCTATAGCGTCTTAGAAAATACTCCATTTAGACTAACACAGCACAAAAGCCGGTTTTCCCATTGCTGAAAATCGGCCCTTTTCAAACTGAAGTGCCCCCGCTGCTCAGACATCATGGCGGAGGACAATGGAAATGCAAGATGCCTCTTCGAGATCGTTGGGCATCCAAGCCAGAATTGCTCCTCTTGTCCTAAGCCCGACCATGTTCTCAATTCCTTCTGCAGGCAGAACGCATTCCTTTGTTGCAGAGCAGCTGAAGGACGAATGTTATTTCCTTAAACCTACATCTGCTTAGGGGAACAGACGTTCGACCCTGGCCAGCGGGTTTCATCCTTCCCATTAAACCTTAAAGCCTTTCCTCAAACCTCCCACGGCTCTTTTAATTCTTATTTTCCCTTTACTCAGAAAGCCTTTAGCAGTTTCACCGTTAAGTCTCGGATACCCCCCACCCCGAAGAGCCCCTCTGCAAAATATGGGGAGGTGGTGTTCCCCCCCCTTCTTACCCCACCCCACCATCCATCCTCCCCTCCCAAGAGCTCGCCATGCGGGCACCACGTGGTCGTCTGCAATGCGGGGCGCGCCGCCGATTATGAGCGGGAGGGAGTGCGCGTGCGCGCGAGGGCC